GATGCCATACCATGATTTACTAATTCAACTAGCCAGCAAGCACCCACTTCTGAATTTCTTTTCCCTACTACTAATACAACACTATAAATTTGTTTCTACCTTCCCATTTTGCCATGTAAAATAAAGTTCCATTTGAGTTAATACTTCAAGAAGTACAAAAATTATGTCATTTAAACGTATTTTTATTACATGTATAGTCTCGCAGCCTCTTCACTCTGACAATTCAAAGGCAACTTCAGCTAGGGGACTAGCTGAAAGGATTATTATTCTTGAGTTGAGAGAATATATTAATTCTAACTGTGCTAGATCGTGGTGCGACTCATGGGGAAGCGCTTCCTTTGCCCTTTTTCTTGGAGAAAATCCCTCCTATCAGTGGGATCAATGGTTTCTTCTTCTTTTTCCTTAGAGAATGGTTTCTCTCAAGTGCTTCAACTACTTGCGGAATTATAACTCGTGTCAGGGAAGGGGGGTTAGCAAACGTCACATATCTCTTCTTTTGAAACTCGGTCTCAGCTTCTTCGTGCAATGTTTGCATTCTGGCTTCAAATTTTGTGGTATCTTCAACAATCTTGACATCTTCAATTTCGGATTCTATCATATGCCTTTCGACTTCACGTTCCTTCAATTGTTGAAGCTCTCTCTTTGTTCTTTCAAGTTCTTCTTGAAGAGAACAAAGGCAGCTTGCCATTAGCGTCCTTTGTTCTCTAGCTTTTTCAAGTCTTTGTTTTGTCTCCTCTAGCTCTGCTGTCACTGTTCCAAGCCTGGAAGGGCCCTGCCCGTATTCAGTTCCTCCAACGTGCATCTAATCATGTGAAAGGACAAAATCATATATAAAGTTACACACACACACACACACACACACAACGTAAGATGCTTTGCTTACCGCCCTTTCCAACCCCTAATTCTATGACAGGGTCGCATGCTGGCATGGACGAGATGGCTTCTCCTCGCCAAAAGCAATAGATACAATATTCTTAAAGCCCTCAATTCCATTAAGTAATAGATTGATATCGCTATTGTTTATCAATTGGCATAAACATTTAGTTTTCTTTTTAAACTTTATTCTATCACAGGACAAAAGGAACAAAGTTCTCGCAGCTCTATGAAAACTTAAATTCTATCACAAGCAAGCAAATGAACAATATCAAACGAGCACTACTGATAAACTAATGAAATGTTAATAGTCACAGCATGGATCTAATGAAATCATTCTAACACTCTCCATTTGCTTTGGCCAGGATCCATTAGTTAACAATCAAAGGGAAAAATTGAAAGGAAAACAGGAGAATGCATAGCAAGTAACAATTAATTCCATATAGGATTTGAGCATAGTCACGAAACGAAGTGTTGAAACACTGTTCCGGTTGATATTTCTGAGTACCACAACTGCCCCAACAACACGGGATAGTTTTTTTGAAGAAGACAAGGTAAATTAATTAAAAAAAAAGAAGTAATTAGTGAGTGATAATTAACCTCTTTGAGCTTGTTGGCGTATAGCTCCCCAGCTAAAACTCTCTCGCCAAACAACGTAACAGCCTCTTTGACAGACCTGAATGGTGCTCTAGTATCAATCTCAGCCCTTTTGAGTACTATCACTTCTTCAGCCGCCATTTCAGTAAATATGTGCTCTGTAAGGGATCAGAAAGTAAGAGATTGAGAGAGAGAGAAGAAGATAATTCTGGATTGAAGGAGAGATTTGGCAACAAGGATGCGGTTTTAACTTAGAACAAGAGATAGAGATGGGGCCGGAGAGAGATGGGACAGGTTGGTTACTAGTAGCTAGAAGTGATTTTTGGTTAGGGGAGACAACAATATTGTATGACAAGTATACGTCTTGCTGGGGAGCTTCGTTACTTCGCGTCCACTTCACTAGAATTCTGTGTTTTCCGTTAGTCACTTGATACTATATTTGAATGCGAAGGCGGTGGTTGGATGGACTTTGTTCACTAGTGCCTGACCAGCCCATGTTAATTTAGCAAGAGAGAGGGACTCTTCACCAAGAGCCAACGAATCAAGCGAGGCAGTGCATGTGTATGATCCACGAGGACCACGACCCATGCTCTAAGCCACAACTACAGGAAGTTTTCAGCCCAATATGATCATCAATGAAAATCCTACGGTGGGGGAGGGGTCGTCCATTCGATTATGGATTGGGTTGTGAGAGCTCCATTGAGGTCGTGGCTCTTTTCAAGGGTGACGTGGCTTCTCCATCAGTTAAAAATTATATTTATTTTCGTAAAAAAATAATAATTAAACTTCTTGCGAAAGATAAAAGATGATCTCTGAATTATTAGTTTTGAAAACGTGGGATGCATTAGAGATACCTTTACATTTAATGCATGTACCATGTCTTTTTGGCATATCTAGCCATCGAAGCCAAGTGGAGATATGAAAGGTATCATCCTTGTCCACGTGTAAATTGAATACATCATATATGATTCCTCGTCGATTTTAATGGAGTTCGGCAAACATTCTCCCAGTACCAGGCGGGTAAAAAAAAAACACCGATAGTCCATCATTGTGGGGGTGTAGATGATCCGTTTATCTTAGCTTTTCAACTTGGCAGGCTGGCACTAAGTTGTACAGCTTTATTTCTCAAGGACACTGGCAAACTGACACGAAGGTTTTCTATCCATTCGTGCCGGATCCACGTATGACTTTTTATTTATGCATGAACACCCGTGGTATTCCTTTCACTATGAATCTGTTTTTCTTTTCATATATTTTTTTAATATTATATTAATATCTTTTAGTAATTTATTTTTATAAATTTAATATATTTTTTAGCGAAAAATATTTTAAATGTGGTTATTATTATAAAAATAAAAATAATAATTATTATAATTTAAAAAATTAACTTAAAAATCAAGTAAAATTTGAGTCGAGTATAGGATAATCAATATAAAATAAAAATGACTACTATTATAGTTTTAAAATTTAATTTAAAAATCAACTCAGGATAAAACTCATATTATTAATCATGAAATCATTGTAGTTTTAAAACCTAATTACAAAATCAACTAGAATAAAAGATACGTTACAAGTCAAGAGGATCAATACAGGTTAATCCAAGTCAATATATAAATAAAATGGTTATTATTATAGCTTTAATTCTAATTTGAAAATATATCTAAGTCTAGGTTTAGGTCACAAGCGGGAGACTTGACTTGGCAGATCCAAAAAAAATTATTCTTTTTAAAAAAATAAACTGATTTTTTACTAATGTTTTATCCCAAGATGACTTGGGTTTTTAATCTTTTTTTATTTTTTTTTAAGCTCGGACTAATTCAAGTCCCGAGTAAATCTTTAAAGTCAATCTTGGTCTTATAACTAAAATTATTGTAATATTATTAATTTCAATACTTAGTATAAGCTAAATTAGTAGAAAAAATATTGAATTATTTTTTAAATATATAAATTTAACAACAATATATATTAAAAATAAAAAAAAATTATATTTTATTTTATCATATTTATCCTAACCAATCTTAACCAAACTGGATATAAAAATAATTATTTCATGATATAAATTTTTACCAAACACAATTCTGTACCAGTTATTTTTTCTATCTCTGTCTCTTTTATTCCCCAACAGTAATAAAACGCTACCTTACTGTCTAGTTCAGTTACATGCTTGCACGTCATTAGCACTTGTCTTTCCTTCGTACTGAAGCGTGTTCTCAAGTGCATGGCAGGACCCAATATATATGCGCAATGCAGCAGGACAGTTCAGATGATCTTCAAGCAATTGGTTCGATTCTACATACTGTAGCTGGGGACTGGGGTAATATTTACCGTTCTGCTACTCTCATGACTTTAGCCTTTTGACAAAATTGAGTGTACATCTGGAATTTGCTTTCCAGTGGGAGACATCATAGATGGTAGGAATTCTTTTCCTATATACAAACACCGCAGACCCTATTAATCAAGTGGAGTGATGTATGTTTAACGAACAATAAGTAATCACTAGAGGTCAATAGCACTAAGAAGTCCTGCATTTCTGCAGGATATTTGAACTTATGCAAGCCAGACACAAGTCAATAACATCTGAGATATGTATATTGAAAAAAGGAGTTATATTACTTGGATCTTCTTGTTCAACTCTGTTATTCCACTCATTCACTATTTCCTTTAATCCAAATTTCAAGTTCAGGCTGAGCCCAGCTTAAATGCTAGGAGGATAGTGTTAATCAGAGGTTTGCGACGCCATTGTAAAGAGAGGTGGACGCTTGGCAAGTGCAGGGATTCTGCAAAAGATGGAAGATGATTCCAAAGGAACCATATTTGAAAAAGGAACTGTAGTATCCATGGGACGCGCGTTGGATTACAGAAGATACCTACAAGATGCTTTTACCGAGCTTCTGGGATTAGAAATTTCAAAAAACATAGTCAAAGAACATTTTCAAAAGACGGGTCTGTTATTGGAGCTGCTCTCTTGGCTGCTGCAAACTCCAAAGTACGACCATAATTATTAGGCTAGCCAAGCACTTGATTGCCATGAAAGTAATTTATGTCTGTGCAATTAGTGTTCAATCAGAACCTCCTAGCTTGAATTTGTAGCGTACTAAATGGATTCCTCGCATCCAATTTATCTTGAAAATTAGCAGCATCATGCTCGGCCTGTCACCGTGTTTGAAAACTGCGGTCGAATGTATTTTGAAAGTATAATTAATTTAAAAAAATATTAAATTAGTTTTTTAATTTTTTGTATGAATTTAATATATCGATGATAAAAATAAAAAAAATATTTTAATATATTTTTAAAAAAAAATTACAGTATTACCAAACACGCAATTTATCTTTTCCAGATAAAAATGTAAAAGCTGGCTGCAGCCTGCGTTTCGTCTGACAAACATAGCGAAACGGCGAACACAGGCTCGCTTCATTCACGTAAGTGTGAAATGCTCATACCAAACTTATGTGTGAACATCACAGTAGCCGCAAATTAATCACACAGCATTCAAAAGATCAAAATATAAAAATACTTTATCAAGTCATCAACCGAGAGAGGATTCAACTTCAAGTGTTACACGATTTATCTGTATACGGTTGTTACACGCGAGATCTCACTCTCCTCCTTTCCTTCGACATATTCAACCTTGGAGACTCCCTCCCTCTCAAGACGAAAGAAATTCACGAGAAAAATCAAACATTTCTACACCTCCATCCCTCTCCAGATTAACGCTGCTTGAAAATAATTCGTGAAACTTCTTCGTTAATTCATCGTTCGATCTTTCTCTAACAATGGTTATCTTTCTGCCTGATATCATGTTTTGAACAATTTTTTTTTTTTTACTTTTGGTTAATGTCTGTTTTGACGATGTTTGATTTGGCAGATCCGATTTATACTCCTGCAAAACAGACAAGGCAAGACTCGTCTCGCTAAATACTATGTTCCTCTTGAGGATTCCGAGAAGCACAAAGTCGAATACGAGGTTTTGTCTGATTTATACTCTCTTTTTTTATTTCTAATTGTTTGATTTTTTTAGGTTTTTTTTTGTAATGAATTCGATTGTGTTTTTTAGGTTCACCGATTGGTTGTTAATAGAGATGCTAAATTCACGAATTTTGTTGAGGTAATTAATTTCTCATCCCTTTCGAGTTGATAAAGAGAAGAAGCTAATTATGCTATAATTAAGCAGGAGCCGGTGCTTAAACAAATCCTAATCTGATTAATTTGATTAGTTGTGTTGAATTCTTTTTATTAATGAAAACAATTGGAACTTGAACATTGAGTAATAATGGAAATGTTGTTTTAGCTAAGGAATGTTTTGGTTGCAGTTTAGGACACACAAGGTGATATACAGGCGGTATGCTGGATTGTTTTTTTCGCTGTGTGTCGACATAACGGATAACGAATTGGCTTATTTGGAGTGCATTCATTTATTTGTGGAGATATTGGATCATTTCTTCAGCAATGTGTGTGAGCTAGATTTGGTGTTTAACTTTCACAAGGTTTGTCCCTGTCATGATTTTTTTCGTTTTCGTTGTCGTGAGAATGTTACTTTAACCATGCTCGTCTTCGCTCTTGCGATTCTATTGGTGTTGCATGGATGATTCGATGTTTCCTGCTTCTTTGCTTTTACTATGTGTGATTCTTGCCTTTTGGTCTAGTTACCAGATCAATAACACCGTATAATTAGTTCCTGAAAGGAATTCACGGACCTCTTATTGGTTTTTTATCATTCCATGTGCGTGAGTGTTTTCCTATAGAGCAATCTGTTATTGCCGCTGTTTTTCTTATGCGCTTCTTTGTTTGATTTTCTGTTTCCTCCTTAAAAGGTTTATTTGATACTTGATGAATTCATTCTCGCTGGGGAGCTTCAAGAAACAAGCAAGAGGGTGAGTATTTTCTGGAATTCTTTTTCTTCCTGGCAAATCTGGTTCATAGGGAAAACAAGTTTTTGCTCATTTTACCACCCCCCACGTGTTCGGATTACTGTATGGTCGATCCATGCCATCAACTAATATTTGTGTTTGTTTTTGGGAGGATAATGGAAGCACAAATGTATAAGTTTTCAGTTATCATGGCACAACACTTTTCATAACTTCCTTTTCTCCCTCTTTGTTATTTTGGTAAATTAATCCCACTTTAAATAGGCAACTGATACTCATTGTAATGCGCAGGCAATCATAGAGAGAATGGGAGAGCTGGAGAAGCTGGAGTAAGCATCTTTTCTGCAGAAAAGAGTGTCTGAGTGTCAATTTGGTCCTCCATTTTTTCTTCCTGTATTTGTATGTCTCGTTCTTTATTGTTCGGCAGTTATTTCTATACCCATCCAGCACAGCCAGCTCATACCTTGTAATAGTGGACATTTTTGCCAGAAATTGCTTATTTTATCCTTCGGTTCCCATTGTCTCTGTGTCTCATTCTGCCTTTCATTTCCATGGAGTACTGTTAATTCCCATCATCTTTCAGTTGATGGCATAGAATGACTCTGTGCTCAGGTTAATAAGGGTGCTATTTTCATGTTAGTATAACATTCTGGATGTCTAGAAACAATTAGAACTCTTAAAACCCTGCTTGTAGTTTAAGTAGATGCCAGAAATTAGGAGCTATATCTGGTGGTGGGTCTTTGCTGTTGCCCAACAGTGCTGATGAAAGTGAGGAAGTAATGGATAGGTGAGAACTGGGAAATCCAAACGTAGTAGCGATGCATGATACAAAAGCACAATACACAGCTTTCTTGTCCTATCATGAAATCGTTGGATCTGCATGGAAATAAATGCTCATAACAGGGAGTCAGACGTTATGCTCAGCCCATAGCCCCATGCCATATCCCCGCAAGTTCGATCGAGGACTGCACGGGCTGCGATATGGGCAGGAAAAGTATATGAGAAGCATGTAAGAGGATTACCACCCCATGACAGATATGTTAGAGAAGACAAAAGCCAACTATGACCTATGCTGTCATGTCATTATAGGATGAAAAGCCAAGTTAATTCTCAACGCTAAATTCACAGGTGTGACACTCTAGATTCAAAAAGCCAATTTCGCTTCCTCTCTCCATTGGCTGCTGCTTAGAAGGAGTCCCGCTGTTTAAGCAGGTTAAGCGGATAAAAACCATGAGCTTACATGCATAAAAGCAGCTGTCAAATCCGGTTTGAAACCTAACTCAGATAAAGGTTCGGAAAGTGAGTCAAACCATGAATCAACTTTTATATATATATATATATATATAGGTATTACTCAAGTCACAGGAGTCAATCCGTCGAGTGAAAAGGCGACAGTACAAAATGTCCTCACCCACTTTCAGATAATAAGCCCTGGATGCTAGTTCCACTAGCATCTAACTTCCCCTGCCTGCTTTCTTCCCCATTTTAATCTAACACCCAAAGAACAACTTGGCTTCTAGTTTATTCCCCATTTGACAGTGCTGAGATGTGGCAGGTACTAACACAACGAATCAAATAATATCTCTGCCAGTCAATCTGATAGATAATGGCTAGAATTCATAGACGATCATTACAGAGTAATTGCAATGGCAGTGCACCAACAGTTCGAAACCCACCTCCAGTTTCTTCAGAAACAGAAGAGAGATGGTGGTCTTGTCTTCTGACCCTAGCATGAGGCAATGTAGTAATGGTCATAAGCTGATGTTGAGAGATCTGAGCGTACTTGGGACCCAGTGCTTCTTGAGATGACAAAGTTGGGATGGTGGGTTGGGCACGTGATATCTGTGTAGGCGAGTCTTGCCTTACACTTTGCCAGTTCGGAAACTGAGTCATGGTCGTGGAATTTGCAGACGGCCTGTATTGAGCTGCAGCTAGCTGAGCTTCCCAAAGCCGTTGTAGTTGCTCCTGATGCTGCTTCTGTTGCTGCTTTGCAAATCCTGAAGGACTTGCACGAGAACCACAATACAAGTTGCCAAAGTAGGGAGGTAGTGGAACCCGGGCCTAAAACCAAGAGTTAAAAGTAAGTTGGTATAAAACTCGGTACAGATGCAGTAGAAGTTTGTGTGAATTTGAAGACCCTAGGTGACTCAGCAAAGTGTAAACCTTCAGCCAAAGAGAGCCTCATGCTGCTGAACATAAGATCACCTATTGGCTGGCTCCCTAAATTCACAGAACTACACTTCCACTGCATCCCCATTTAACGGATGTAATTATTGACAAAAAATAAATGATTTGAGGATGTGCAAAACCATCTCTTCAATTAATTCTTGAGTCATCAGCATAGATACATAGATGCAATCTAAAAGGTAAGGATAAAAACCTGCTGTGCTGCAGGTTGATCAGGGTAAGATGAGGATGTGCAATATGCTTGGGACATAGGGAAACTCGCGAGTGTGGAATGTTGCTGTTGCAAATGCGAGTGCAGATAAGGAAATTGCTGCTGAGCGGATTGTTCAGACCTATTTCCAACTCCATTAGAAATGTTATTAGCTTCCAGGCTGCCCCCGCCAGTTGACAAAGACAAGAAATTGAAAGTCTGCAAGGGAGTAAAAATTGATCAAAACCAGTTAGAAAATAATAAACCATTGGAAATTGAATGCTGGGTTTACCTGCTTCTGAGAATTGCACACGCCAGGAGGAGTCTGTGGCTGATCTTGATGGAGTCTTTGTCGCTGAAGAGTGCCAATTCCAACTTGATTTGAATTCTTGTCAGTCCTGTTAACTATGGCTCTAGAAGGTGTAGCGCCATTCAAACCATTCCTGTTGCCATTTAAGTTGTTTATTGTCATAAATACACCTTGCCTTAATATATCATGTGGCCTCAGTTGATTCAGATGCATAGGCAAGCTATCTCTGCTCTCAGGAATTTGTAAAACCCGTGTGAGGTGACTTATATAAACATGGGTTGCGGACCTCTTCCATGATCTTTTACCAGTATTGACTTTAAAAGCCTGTGTAAGTCACAGTCCATCAGATAAACCAGTCATAAAAGTTTTGAGCAATCAATTCATCCAGGCAAGAGAAATAATCATTAGATATAACCATCACCTTTCCAGTAGGAGAACATTTTTTGAATGAACTGGGCCTGGAAGCACCACAATCAGTATACATCCAAGAAGGAAATTTGGTGGCAGAAGATCTGAAATAGGTAAAATTGCATGACAAATTGCAAAATAATGGATGAAGTAAATGTACAAAACCAAAGAAATGGGAGAAAATTACTGTGATGAAGATCCATAATTGCATGCACCACTTGACACAGTTGAAGACAAACCTGGCCACAATGCTGGAACTTCAGATGAAAAAATCAACTATTAAGTGTAGTATTACACAAGACAAAAGCAATCTACAATCAAATTGTATGCTATTGAGATGATAATTTCTCAGGAGCAGGAGTTTTACCATTGGTCTTGGATTGACAGATTGTACGTCGTTGATCCTGTTGACTTACAGTAGCTGTCGGCCCCAAGGTATTGTCTGGCTTTCTCTCGAGTGAGGTCTCCAACTGTGTGGACTGCTTCACTTTGCTGCAAGCTCAAAAAATGTAAGGAATAAATAAACAAATGCCTTGGAGCCATGAACAAAGGAATACATAACAACCAAAAGAGAGAAAAAAGAAAAGAAACGCATACACAGTATCCTGATATTGCTCAGGGGCAATAAAGACATTGAAAGAATCACACAATGGCTTTAGCTCCTCCTGTTTAGCAAACATAGTGGGCAGATCCACTTGAGCAACACAACTAACTAATTCACCTTGGACTTTGTCGCTGGACAAAGTAGGCCATTCTTGAAAACTACGCTCGTTCAAACAATCAACTTTGGCAGTTTCGACATGCCATGTTTCCTCAGCAGCCTCGTCAATTCTCGGGAGGCAAATTGAGTTTAAGTCCTCTTTTACGGCTACGGAATTAGATAAACAACATACTTACAACACAGCATAAAAAAAAAAAGCATAATAATAAAATTATGGAGGAAACTAAAAATAAAAAAGAAAACCTTCAATAATGGGGGAATCACTCTCACTACGTTCTTGCAAAGTTGAACGACTTGCATCCAAAGAAGCATTGACCAATTTACACTCATTTTTGGGTTCTTCATTATTGGCAAACATTCCAGCCAAAGAATACAAGGTCTCCACAACTTCTTCTTCATCTTTGGTTATTGGCCCACAGACACTCTGTTTACTGGACCAGTCTGGCCCTGGTTGTGTCTGGAAAAGCATTTTTAACTTTATATAAATTGAAGTGCTCAATAGAAGAGGAATAAGAATTTAACTGAAATCAGAAGCTAGAGATAACCGGCTAACCACTTTCAATCCCAATTTCTTTAAACCATCCCTTTTCAGTGATTCCACCCCACCATGAGTGTGGCTTAGCTTCTTTGAATCTGGAAAAGGTAGGGAGACAGATTCGCGATTGCGTTTCTTCATGGCTGAAAATGGTCATGTATATTAACAAAACTATGCCAGCAAAAACATGAAGAACTATATTTAATTTCTTGCTTTTATTCATGAAAAGAAAAATGAAAAAAACTTTGTTCATTTTTAAAAAACTGAAAGTATCTCCCTTGGAAAAGCAAGCTTAAGAATATTAAAGAACTAAAAAAATATCAAACACGATACCATAAATAATCACTTAAAAAGAATAAATACACCACGAAAGTAGCAGCATCAGCACAACTAGAATTAAAAAGTACAACACACAGAATCTTTCTTCCTTTAAAAGAAAAGAAAAGGCAAAAAGCTTCAGTTTTGCTTCAACTCCAATCCAAAATTTACAAAGCCATAAACAAAACAAAACCATCCAAAAACATGAAAAAAAGAAACTTCCAAGAAATTCCCCCCACCAAAAAAACACTTAGTTTTGAAAACCTGGACACATCCAAGTAAATAACCGAAAAAACCCCACCAAGAAAAACGTCGTACTGCTTGATTTCTGAATTGACAAACATAATAACACACCTGATCGTAGCTTCCTCGGAACAACACCATTGCAATCATCAATAAGCTGCTTTAAAATTCAACCAAACATTAGAACAAGCAGGAAATTAATTAAAAAAACCAACCACCTCATAATTACTGAGCCTACCTTTCTGGGAAGCTTGAATCTCTTGTTGCTAGTACTTGCAGTGCCACTAGTAGCGGAAGGTGCTTGAAGAACTACTTTATCAAACACGTCACAACCTCCACCACCTCCCATCTCACACTTTTTTTCTTCCTCCACCTCCTTACTACAACTCCCCTTATTACTTTCACTATTATTATTATTAACAGCACTCAACCTTTTAATTCTCTTCGATTTCTCCCAAGAAACAACAAAATCACCACCATTCAAACCTTCAAAAAAAAAATCACAAGAGGATAAAAGATAAGAGACAAGATACTACTAGAAATAGCTAAAAAAGTAGTAAAGAGCATAAAAGAAGAAACGACAGAAGCAGAATAAGAATAAAACAG